TTCCAAGCTCATGCTGAACCGTTTTCAATTAACTGTACGTAAATACAAAGTTAAAAGATAGTTCTTTTTAGCTGTACGAGTAATGGACAATTTATTTCTATGCCAAGGCCGAAACAAATGCTTTAAAAACTCCCTAAATCGGCCAATATGGCGGCCCTCCGGAAGCCCTGTCAAACCGTCATTTCTGTATCTTCCAAAGGAAAGAGAAATCAAACCAAAGAATATGCATTCAGTATTTAGGGCACCATTCTAAGACTTCATGCCAAAAATCAGCCAAATCTATGAGATGCCGTGTCAGGCGAAAGTTCGAATCTTACAGAAAATCACTCTTAAATAACCAAAATGCGAATTGCTTATTTATTAAATAACCAAAATGTGAAAGTGGTTATTTATTAAATAACCAAAATGAAAATTGGTTATTTGTTAAATAACCAAAATGCGAAATTGGTATAAAAATGCAGGCAGAATGGAAAATTGGTTATTTATAAACAAACTGGACAGTTGGTTATTCAGTAAATAAAACATGGACGATTAAAAATCCAAAACTGTGCAAAAATGGTTATTTAATGCAGAAATGGTTATTTACCTAATTTGGTCTTAGCAAGTGGCCACGTGGCACATTTTCTCGCTCATTTCCCATGACGACTTGCAGACTTCTATTTCCAGCATGGCTTCTTCCACTTCCCTCCCTTTCCTCTTTTCTCTTTCATTTACCTTCTTCCACCCTCATTTTCCTTCATTTACTTTCATTTTCCTCCGTACACCTTCATTCGCTTTCATTAATCTTCATTCACCTTCATTTATTTTAATTCACCTTCATTCTAATTCATTTACCTTCATTCACACTCATCCTTCCTAGTTAATATTCATCTACCTACATAGGCCTTCAATAACCTTTGCCTTCTTTCACCTTCATCTACCGTCATCTTCCTCCATTAGCCTTCATTCACCTTCATCTACCCCCATTAGCCTTTATCCACGGTCACCTACATTCATTAGCCTTCTTTTACCTTCATACGCCTACATCTACCACCATTAGTCTTCATTTACCGTCATCTACTCATGATAGTCCAGAGATTATCCAATAAAATGTCGTGCCGTCACATTATTCATTTCTGCCTAATTTGTTCCCTTGCCCTTTAATCTTCAGACATTACACATACTCAAAAATAATTTTGCATTTCCGTGAAACGTATCGTATTTAACACTGTTTTGTTATACAACAGGGTCTTAACGAGGTATATATTTTCCCGACTGATCTCACATTTTGGCCATAAAATTTTTATACCTCATCCATAATTGTTGCAAATCCTGATCCCTGATCCCGTGAAAATCTTTTGATCCCTGGATTCAATTCTGTACTTGCTAAAAACTAAATGAAATACCAAATAAACTGTCTCTCTTTTCGATTTCTTTTACAATTTTATTGGTCATATCACTTGCTGACTGAAGAATTAAGATTGGCTCCCGTCTGTTCTTTCGAGTTATCATAATTTCTATCATGATTGGCTCCACTTTAGAGCTCCCATAATGATGTATCTTCTAATAAACGCAAGTAGGGAGGAAATTTGTAGCGCCGAAGGCGACCCAACCTTGTGGGATCTGGGGGCCTGCTCCCCCGGAAAATTTTTATATTTAGGGTCTCGGAAATCCTATTCCAGCGTTTTCCTCGGGACGTTTTCAGTAAATTGATACGCAGGAAAATGCTACTTTCCTGCTCCTGAGTTCTCTTTGAGCGAAGATTGGCTTGACCAATGATCAAAAGTACCTACAGAATTCCACAATTTCAGGATGATAAGAGAATTCTGTCGCAATAGGCTTTGCGTAGCGGGCAGCCATCTTGGATGAGCATCAAAACTAGTTAGGGACTATTTTTCTCGCTTCCTCCCAAACCGCCCCCTGTCCCCTGGTTAGTTTTGACACTCATCCAAGATGGCAGCCCGTAACGCAAAGTGCTCGATCTCGACGATCTTACGGAAAAATAGGGACTGTGAACAGCCTGTAGTGGCATGTCAGGTATGTATCAGATTTTGATCGGTTAGTAGCTAACTTCAAAACAGCTCGGAGCCATTTCTGCATTTAACCGCGCTATGTTTTTGGAAGAAGCCATGTTGGAAATAAAAGTCTGCAAGTCGTTATGGGAACTGAGCGAGAAAATGGGCCACGTGGCCACTTGCTAAGACCAAATTAGGTAAATAACCATTTCTGCATTAAATAACCATTTTTGCACAGTTTTGGATTTTTAATCGTCCATGTTTTATTTACTAAATAACCAACTGTCCAGTTTGTTTATAAATAACCAATTTTCCATTCTGGCTGCATTTTTATACCAATTTCGCATTTTGGTTATTTAACAAATAACCAATTTCGCATTTTGGTTATTTAATAAATAACCACTTTCGCATTTTGGTTGTTTAATAAATAACCAATCTCGCATTTGGTTATTTAGAAATAACTACTTTTTAATTTTTGGTTATTTGCTAAATAACCAAATTTCAGTTTTGGTTATTTGTAAATAACCAATTTTATATTTTGGCTATTTAGAAATAATGAAACTGTAATGTGGTTATTTGTAAATAACCAACACTGTTTTGGTTATATACAAATAACCACTCTAAATAATAAAAATACATTTGGCGCCCCATATACTGATGGCCAAATTTGGAAGAATTTTGACTTTAACGAGGAAATGACGTCAAAAATGCAGCGTTTTCGCAGGTTAAGGCACTGTTAACCGAGAAGACCTGGGGACGAAGTTGAGTTGTTTCGGTTGTGAACTTGAAAAAATGGCGGACATTTCACTCGTTTCAAGAGTAAGAACTAGGCGAAAAAATAGCTAAAAACACGGCAAGAACAGCAAGAAGACAACTCGAAGGGCGACAGCTGCTATTTGGAGAATATTTGTGGATCTGGACAAACCTAAACGTATACTATCGAAGATGAACTGACCATCGATGGATCGATGGAGGTAAGCATGTTTTAGCTATGTTTTTAAACTAGGAATTATTTTGAATGAATAATAAAACAGTTATTGAATTCGGCTTTCGTATCATATGAAGAATTATGGAGATCGAGGAGGGTGTTATCCGCCTCGGCCTACGGCCTCGATGGATAACACCCTCCTCGATCTCCATAATTCTTCATAAGATACTCAGCCTCATTCATTAACTGTTAAAATTATTTACAGCACACATTGTTTATTCATCTACAGGGCCGCATAAATTTTACGCTGAAAACCTCACACACTTTAACACATTCAGTTGAAAAAAACATTCTTTAAATAGCAAATGAAAACTATAATATTATCGGAGGTATGCTTTTAGTATAGAGGCCACAAACATTAAAGGTGTATTTGTAGTTACACTAGACATTTTTCACGTAAACTAGCACCCCTTGGGGAAATAGCTTGGGTTGGTGTAGCTTTGGGTTTTAATATTATTTATTGCTTTTATGTTTATGATCACAAAGTGATAAATATTACCCAATGGGAGGAAAAAACTTCAACCGGTGTCACAGCAAACTTGTCAACCATTTTTCAGTTCTAAATATATATTTACAGCAGTACTTGGAATCCTGTTGTGTTGTTGAACAGAACAGTTTGTCGTACTAAGGATTTGGGGCCAACATGAATGCAGCATGTAAACAACATATTCTACTCTTTGGTACATTGATTGGTTGTTCCCTGACTTATTGACCCAAAGAATGAATTACCCAGGGAACTATCATGGAGTCAATTCTTTGATTCTTTTTTTTGTATCCATTGGAAATTTTCCCCAGGCAATTGCACCTTAGGAAAATCGGTCACACACAAAAAGTTGCCTCCCGTGTGTAAGAGCCTGACCCAAGCATAAAATAGATAGTGCTACCACACCTATAATGTGGTTGCCAGTCTACTTTTACTTACATTTCACTGCAAATATTTTTCGCTAAAATTATAATAAATCAAAAAAATTAATACTCTATAAGGATTTCAAAATGGTCCTACCAACTTCAGTAATAGTTAAATACTACAGAGTGCACATTGATTTGCCATTTTGTAATCCTTTGATAACGGCCTACATTTCACTTTTTTTATTCTCTGCAAATCTTATTAACATCCATTGAAATCTGGCAATAATCAGCTTTTCACTAATTTTATTCAGTTTTCAGTTATTCGCTTATCAAAAAGTGTATCCTATAGTTATTATTAAAATTGGTCTATGGTTATTTTCATTCCTTAGGCCCAGTTCAGACGCCGATCTTTTCATGAGCTGAACCTAATACATTGAATTAAGTACATGAAAAGTTTGACGTCTAAATCAATTAGGAATGCTTATTTCAATTTGGAACGGCTCAGCCGCGCGCTCTTCACGCCCAGCCTGGCCAGGAATTTCGACTGTGGAACGACTTTGATTCAGACGCCGAACTTTTTTTTTGTACCATTCTTAATGCATAAATTATAGTAACCTAATATTTTGCAAGTAGTTTGACCAAAATGGGCATTTTTCTCCTTTCTATCTAGTTCGGTGTCTGAATCAATTCAGGCGGTCTAAATTGTTTGGATCGGCCTTAATTCGAATTAGGTTCGGCTCATGAAAAGTTCGGCGTCTGAACCGGGCCTTAGCTTAAAGATCAGACTAGGTTATACTGGCCACTCTTTTTGTTCGACAAATCTGGTTTAATTAAGTTCTACGTCTATTTATTTATTAGTTTCCAGCTTAGTGATTTTGTGCTGTTAAACCATCACTGGCCTCATTTTCTTTTTTCTACGCACACTAGTTGTTCAAGTGAGTGTTTATTGATCATTTAATCGTATTTGGTAATTGTTCTATTCAGTCCGCTGAAAACTAACGTAAAATTGTAGAATATGGTATTCAAAACTCTGCCTGTTTCTACTTCAAAAGCTTATATCAAGAAAAAATTTGAAGATCATGGTGGCCTTCTCCCTACGGCCTTCATAAGCGCTCCTGTCATCCAAATGCCCAAGGCTTTCCTAAATCGCTCAGTTCATGTGATAGTATGCATAGCTGTTTATTCCTTTGCTAGCATTCACTGTCTAAAATATCTAAACTTTTTATAGCTACACATAATGTCTAAAGCTAAGCCAATCGACGATGGCATACAATAGTGTTGCAGAAACACATGGTGCAAACTATGAGACATGAGGAGAGATATTTATTGAATCTAGCCATAGTCAGAATGAATGTTACAAACTTACCAGACAGCGTTGCAACATTAAATTTTGACCTTGGTACCGGTCTGTACCACTGTACTACGATGAGACAAAGATATCATACTACTGCACATTCATGGCTCGTTGCATGGCATGAGTTGCTCTGCACTTAACGATAACAATCCGCGGGAGCTCTGGCATCGCATGCTCCATTAACTACGATTTACAGTTTTACTGTAAAACTTTACTTATCATAATTATTGATAGAATTATTGAATGAAAATATTCAGCGCAATACTCGCTTGCAGTTTACAACGCTTTATCAAATCTGAAACACCTGGCTTTGCCTAAAGTTTTCAACCTCAGCTGATAGTATGACCTTATCTAGATCACTGCTTGTTTATTTGAAGTATAGATATTATAGCCATCTCAAAGATTTAAACTACAGTATGCATGGTTGCTTGATTATTGACTTTCCCCCACTCATAGTTTATCCATTCATTAATAATAGTAACAACATCATGCCTGTCCATGTTCTCCATAATGATCTTAAATTTTCCAACAGAACTATTCTCTTGAGAGTCAAACCTTTGTAACATGGAATGAGTTGGTTGTTGTTTCTGTCCTAGTAATAAAATCTCATCTCTAGTAAGGTCAATTTTCTCTCCAAACATCCGGTAATCATCCCAGAATGGTCGCTCTACGTCAAGTTTGTTACAAATGTTACGGTAAAATGGCTGTAATGGGATGGTTGCCATTTTTCTGGTTAAGAGGCGATTCTGAAATTCATGGGAGACTGATGCAGGCTGGTTACCAGTGAGATCATCAAGTGGTGAATGGTTCTCAGTGACAACAGTAGATGAGGACAGCTCTCTTGAGTTTTCATTGCCTGTATAAAATATATGCACATTAATATCACCAATTTTAGTACAGCTTAAGCCCATTGGTGGGTTATGAATGAGATTGAGGGGTGGGGGGCTTAATTTGGTCTAAAAAATAAAGAGGGGGAAGCTCCCTTTCCATGCTTTTATTTTCACTTAACAAATACTTGCACTGCAGTCAATAGTTGTGTAGCTTAACTTATTTGCCCCTAGAAAACCAAATCTAATAATTGTTTTATTTATACATTGTTTTATAGAAAGTAACGACAAACACACTGTCGCAAGGAACCTGAATTGATAGTTAAAATAAGAGCATGCATTGCGGGTGCAACCTACAGATTAGTCAGTTATCTGCTAGCAGACAACTAACTAATCTCTAGGTTGTGCTGATTTTCAAAATTACCTGTAGGCTCTTAGCCAATGAGAACACAGCTAAGAAGTACAATGTATAATAATACTAGATATTGTACATACCTTCTGCATCAAGACCTATACCAGCAACATTAGGCAGTTCTGGATTAGCTGGCACCAGCCCTTTGTAAAAACAGCAGCGTTTCAGATTATTATACTGTAAAATTCCGATAATAAGCCCTTCCATTGTATAAGACCCTCCAAATATAAGCCCCCCAAAATCGTAATGCAAAAAACCCTCCATTAAATCGCCCCTCAGAATATAAGCCCCCCAGGGGGCTTGTACTTGGAATTTGCCCTTGAATACAAAGTAAAACAAAGCAAAAATGGTAATTTCCTTCCCACTACAAGCTAGTCCAATTGATTTTGAAACACAAATTTCCCCCCCGTTCATAAGCCCCTCCGAATATTAGCCCCTCCAAAAATAGGCCACTGAAAAAGGGCCCTTGTAAAATATAAGCCCCAGGGCTTATTAAAATTATACTAATTAATGATATCAGGAGCCCATCAAATTTGATGGGCTCCTGATGATATACAAAAAGAAGTTTGATTTTCTGTTTTTACATTAGCCAGTTTTAGGAGTGAAGGAGTCAGGCAATTGTTAGAAAGATTATAACCATTCTCTTTCAACTGTCATTCTGTTCTTTTATTTAAAACAAAGCAAAAAACAATAGCATACCTTGTGCATGGTTATCATCTAATGATGGTGGAATGACATTTCCTTCAGGGAATGTCTGGCCACTGTTGGTATAGGACCGTACAAGATACAAAGCTCTACTGTTTTCATGATGCAGATCTACAGTACCGTGGACACTGTTATCAGCAGGAGTTGCTCCTGTCATCAAAGAGCATGTAGAACTGGGCGTGGTCTGATTACCAATAGGCTGATGGAACCTTGTAGTTTTGCTTTTTCTTAATCTACAAAGAATACACAGGAAGATGAGAGGCAGAGATACACCACAGAACAGGTAAACTACTGTTTTATTCCCCATTTTGAAATGATCTTTGATACTGTATCCTGTATTTTCTTTGTCATTTGACTCAGTGTCAACAGTTATTGAAGAACTAGATCCAGCATAGTCCTTTGAACTGGTGGCAGAAACTGTTGGATGTTCATGAGTGTGGGTGGCCGCAGTTATCTGTCTGCTGGTTCTAGTGATACTTGTATGCCAAGAAAAGACTAAAGTGGAAACCAATGAAGGGCTTGGTTCTATGAGAACACAGTGAATGTCTGTGCCTTGTGGGACAGTGGATGCACATCGCACTGACGGCGTTTGCCCTTCCTCACATTGTGGGCACGGGAAACACGAGACACATTCTCCTGATGAGGGGTCGACTACTGTAATGGCCTGCCCTGTACAGTCTTCCTTTAGACAAGCAGATTTTACTCCCACTGTTACCTGCAAATAAAGAAATTTAATAAGAAAAAAAATCAACTTTTACAGCAACTTAACATAATTAGGTGCTTTAAACCAAAATCACGGACATTTACCTAGCTCTGATTGGTCATGATAAGAGGAAAATATCCAGTGCTCCAATGATTTCTCAAAGCGAAAAGTCCACAAGTGTGAAAAAAAAAAGTGGTGCAGCATGAGTCACAAGTGGTTTGGGTGTGAATTAACCACAAAGTTAAAAGCACGTCGCCTTTCGAAATGTCATAACAAATTGAATTTTTCATATTTTAACTTTACAGTTACTCGAGCTCAGCTTGGTTGTTTCTCATGAGCTGAACTTCGTTCCCGGTGGGTAAAGAATCCTGGTAACGAGCAAGACATCGAGCCAATCACGTGACAGTACAACTTGTTCTTTGACAAAAATTCTACTCTCAATGTACAAAGAAAATCGTTTTACATTTTTTCAGATCAAAATTGTTGGCTTACTGAATTCGACGAAACTAAAACCGTAAGCTTTTATATTTTACCTCGAAAATACTTCCCTCAAGGTTACCGATTGATTCGTTGTATACTTTCTTACGACAAATGCATCGAAATGTATGAGCAAAGATAAATCGCGCATTGAGATCCCGCAAACCATACTGTGCTGTGTTTGGATGATGGATTTTAGGGAACAGTTAAGTTTGTACTAGTACAATTAGAGCGTAACTCACCAGAATCGCTTGTAGAAGAAAAACAATCGTTCGTGCTGTTGACATTGGAGATCGAACTAGTAATCTCATTCCCTGATGAAGAAAAGGCGGCAAAGAGAAAATCAGTTCTGCATTTGATAAGAAATGTGTATTATAGACAAATGTATCTTCTTTCTTCGCAGAGACGCAGATCTTCGCACCCACTGCAGTATTGCGAAACTTTAATACATCAACGATCGCGTGAGAAACGGCGCATGCCTCCAGGCTGGACTGACTGTACATAACCCTAAAAGCGTGCAATGCGAACTACTGAACAAGAATGAATTTAAGGCGTTTCTTATAATCTCACCTCGTGTGTAGATAAAACACTTCTGTGAGCTCCATGATTGAAGGTTTATTACTTATCATGTCGTCTTAGCATTTTGCCAGGCAAACGAGTTCTTCGGGTTTCGTCACGCGTGCCTTCGTTTCAAACAAAATTCGTCATGAAATTGAGGCAGGGGATTCCCCTGATTGAAATCCATTGCATTTCCATTGCATATTAATTAAGACACGAAATTCCAAACTTCTAGAGAGTGCTGACGAGGTTTTTATTTTGGGTGGAAGAAATGTCGATCGGTGTCAGAGCCTCCCACAGTTTGATCTGTAACCTGTACATCATGGTATGCAAATAGCATAAAAAAGGAAAAACAAACCAAAAATAAAAACATCTTTTAATTCAGTAACAGTCAACTCTTTCGGACACCTCTCTAGGGTGATATATCTGTGTTGGGACTTGCCATTCTTCACATTCTTTATCCTTATTTTTAATAATGTTTTATTGTCTAAACGCAGACATCGATCTTTATATGGGCACTTACCACCGGTTTAACGGGGTCTGCGAGGATTGACTGTCCCAAATGCTAAAAAAAGGCGAAAAGACATAATGAAAATCTAAATCGATCCGAACCACCTGCCGTCGGGAAAAATTTGCTGACTAATAACACCTTTTATGGCCATAAAGGAGATACGAAAATAAATTCAAAGATAGAATAGTAACGTTCAGCTGAATGTTTCCCGATTATCTTAAGTGACTGTGTAATTTTAAATATTCTGACTGCGGTTCATATTTACTAACTGTATTAAAAAGTAAAACCAAGGAAATGCGGTCTTTGGGCATTGCCGATTCAACGTTTGCTTGTCGCATAAATTTGCATAACCGCATAGAAACTAAGACAACTGAAAATACCCGCTAAAAAAGTAGATTTTTTTCTCATTGGCGATACAACGAATGTAAAAAGCCACGGGTAGCTTTCAACCACATTGTAAGCAAAATGCCCATGATGCAAAACTACTAACATTTCTTAAACTTAGTTTTCTTCAGCATGTTTTAATTTTTTTATTTATTTTGCTGAGACAAGCGTGTTTCACACTGACACATGGAAGGCATAAATCCTGTCTGACAATTCTGACAAGGCCATTTCGTGATTTTGACCAGGGTTTTCATTTGAGGCCGGAGGCCGGACGTTTCGTCCAGTCGTTTGCCATTCCACGTCCGGTACTTTGAGATCAATATTGGCGATTTTTTTTTACTACTGTATTATATATTTTTCTTACTAAGGCATCTCATGAACATACTGACTAGAGGATAACAGAATAATCAATTACATTCTTCAAAACGGCCATATAACTCTTTTTTCTTTGCTTATTGAGCGGCGGGATATTTTATTGGTTTCCCCTCTTCATTTAAACGGAATTGTTACCAAACATCTTTTTTGAAAATCAAATAAATTCGCAATGATAAGCCAATGAAAATTCTGTTGTTGCCATTCTCCCTCCCCCTCCCCCTACCAACTGACCATTTTCATTCAGTAATTTACTTTTTAAAGAGAATTTTAGTGAGCGCCAGCATTGCCTAGGAAACTGTTTCCTTGGTTCCAGAAACGCTGGAAATGGCGTTTCTGAGTATTCTATTTCTATTTCCTGGGGGAGCATGCCCCCACACCCCCCTAGGTGCTTGCGCCTTTGGCGCTCGCGACGCGCCTTACGGCGCCAAGAAAAAATTCACGTCCGGTGCTTTCAGAAGTATGTCCGCTACTTTACAAAACAGTTGAAAACCCTGATTTTGACTTCGTTTAGACGAGTCTAGCCTGCGTGGCAGGCGTTTGAAAGGGAAGGGAAAGGGAGTTTTAGGTGCGAGAGAAACGCGAGAGGCGCGTTTCCCTCGCACCCAAAACCCCCTTTACCTTTCCCTTCCCTTCCAAACGCCTGCCACGCAGGCTAAGACGAGTCCGGACAAATTTTTGAAAGAACAAAACATTTGCACGATCCGTCTTTCGTTCACATGGGACCCGCGCAACCGTGCAAATTTTTGAAAGGCAATCAGCACTGCAATCTGTGACAGAATTATTACGGTTCTGTGTGGACGGGTTGCATAGGCGTCCTTTCCAAAATTTGTCCGGGTCCCTGTAAACGGAGTCTTTGATTTTCGGCTACCACCGGAAAGACTAGAAAACGATGTAGCTAAACTTAGGTCTGCTTGCTAATCATCTTTTAAGGATAATCTCCTCTGGAAGATATTTAAATAGAGATCGTAAGATTGGACTACGAGTACCAGACAAATTACAGTTGACTCCCGATAACTCGAACACTCGCTAACTGGAACCTCGCCCTAACTCGAGCCAAAATCGATTTCCCCTGGATTTCCTTCATACATTTATTGTAATTTTACCCTCAGTAACTCAAACCCTCGATAACTCGAACCTCCCGCTAACTCGAAAACAACTCGAACCATGTTTTGAGTAGCCTCCCACGCAGGCGTTTTTAGGGGCGCTCGTATTTCTTCCCTCCGAGCGCCCCTAAAAACGCCTGCGTGGGAGGCTATGGGCGCGATCCATTCAACCAAAATTCCAACCGGTCCGACCGGGAAAAATGGTCCACCTCAAAAGGTGGACCCGTTTTTTCGAAACTTTTCCGGTTGGACCGAACTGATCCATTGAGTTTTGGACCGAAATTTCCGGAAATTTTGGTTGAATGGATCGCGCCCTATGTTTTGAGGGGTTTTGTTAAAAGCAAGCCCGCGGCCCAGGGCCCGCGACAGCCCGGTGGCCCAGAGGCCCAGTCCTGATTTTCCACAGTTTTTTTGTCCAGCGGTAAATCCACGCGCAGTCCATCTGGTTTGGCCAGGTTTGGGCCTGTGGGCGGATTGGGCGTGCAAAATGGACGACGGTGAGTTTGAATTCGCTTATCATTTTAATAATCATTTCAATCCTTTTCGATCCTTTCTGTCCTTGCATGTTGCTAAGTGAAAAACGTTGTCATTCTCTGGTTATTCGTCTGTTTACAGAACCCGATAGAGAGGAAGTCCATTCTCAAACGATGTAAGTTGTTTTCAAACCACAGTTTGAGATTGAAAATTTTCACTTTCAAAGTAGAGTTAAAACCCGCAACTAAGAACCTACATTTTTAGGAGTTAGCCTAAAGAGGTTCTTATATAAATGGTAGTTAACAGAATTTTAGGCTATTTAGGTTCTTAAAATGGGTTCTTAATCCTGGAGAAAAAACAATTAAAACACAGCTGCAAACAAGTTGGTCATTAGCCTATACTTTTATTTTCTTCAGCCCCACCCCCCACCCCCCACCCCCCCAAAAAAACCATTTAAGAATATATCATTTTATACATTTACATGTATTTATTATGCTTTGCCGAGCTGTACAAAGCTTTAACTGTACCAATAATATTCAGAACAGGGCCCAAAATCTTCTTGCAAGTTATATTTTAAAAAGTGCAGTTGTACTAAACCATCACTATAATTAATGGTCCTTTGTTCTTTTTTTTAACTTGATCCATTACACATCTGGTTTAATTCAGTGTTAAAATGTATAGTCTTCAAGTCCTTGAGGCTTAATCATATCATCATCACTTCCATCAACAGCACTTGATTAAGTATCCTGTCTTCTGGAAAAGTCTCTTGATAAAATCTTTGTCCCTCACCAGTTCCCTCCATGCTGCATATGCCCACTTTGCCATGAGGATCCTCCTCTGTCTTGCAGTTATTTTGTCATGCAACAGTTCTAAATTGTCCTTCTCTTCAAGCCTCTTGTTCATCTCCTCTCCAATTTTTGTCTTGTACATTTTACCANAGGTTCTTATATAAATGGTAGTTAACAGAATTTTAGGCTATTTAGGTTCTTAAAATGGGTTCTTAATCCTGGAGAAAAAACAATTAAAACACAGCTGCAAACAAGTTGGTCATTAGCCTATACTTTTATTTTCTTCAGCCCCACCCCCCACCCCCCACCCCCCCAAAAAAACCATTTAAGAATATATCATTTTATACATTTACATGTATTTATTATGCTTTGCCGAGCTGTACAAAGCTTTAACTGTACCAATAATATTCAGAACAGGGCCCAAAATCTTCTTGCAAGTTATATTTTAAAAAGTGCAGTTGTACTAAACCATCACTATAATTAATGGTCCTTTGTTCTTTTTTTTAACTTGATCCATTACACATCTGGTTTAATTCAGTGTTAAAATGTATAGTCTTCAAGTCCTTGAGGCTTAATCATATCATCATCACTTCCATCAACAGCACTTGATTAAGTATCCTGTCTTCTGGAAAAGTCTCTTGATAAAATCTTTGTCCCTCACCAGTTCCCTCCATGCTGCATATGCCCACTTTGCCATGAGGATCCTCCTCTGTCTTGCAGTTATTTTGTCATGCAACAGTTCTAAATTGTCCTTCTCTTCAAGCCTCTTGTTCATCTCCTCTCCAATTTTTGTCTTGTACATTTTACCAAACCCTGCATCTATAGGTTGTATCTTGTCAGTGTGGTTTTCAGGCAGAAGATATACAATAGCATTGAGTTCATGTCTGCAAGCATCGTGGAACTGCTTATCCTGCTGGAATGTTACATTGTCTGCGAATATAACTTTCTCGTCTGGTGACTTGCCAATGCCTGGAGCAAGTGTTTTGGCTACCCATTGCATGTTAATCTCACTGTCCATCCAGGCACAGGTTTGGAAGTAGACATCAACCCCCTCATCATATTGAGCTTTCTCTTCTGTACTCACATTTCCTTTTCCACGGAATACAATGGCTGGCTTGACATTTTGTTGCCCCTCTGCACGAAAACAAAGCTGCAATGTAGCCTGTCTCTTGTCCAAGCCACTTGAGGGTTGAGAAACCCACATTTGCTCACTCCCTTTCACTTTGTATGTTTTATCCTGATCAATAACAAACAGAAGGGGTACTTGATCAACATTGTACCTGTTCTGTGGTAGCCAACGCCCATACTTGCCATCTAGCCTAGCATTATTTCGCTGTCTTGTTGTTTTCAGGGATGCCCTTAGATTCCTATGGAAACGCTGAACTGTCTCCTTACCCTCACTTGCTGGGTTCTTTTTCTTGTTTGATCTTTTCCTGAAAGCAATGTTATGGCACTTTTTGAACCTCTGAAACCAGTTGTCACTGGCTTTGAATTTCTGAGCTGCCTCTTTTCCATAACAAGCCTCAACCTTTTCCTTCATTTTCTTTTTCAGCCAAAGCTTTGAAATGTTGCATCCTTTTGCTCTTCTGAGTTTAAACTCCACAATAACACGTGCAGCCGCTAGTGGAAACTTCTCACTTTTTACTTTTTGACACACAAGTTGTCCTCTTTGTCGTGTGGATCTTGCTACGCCTTTGTTCTTCTTTGTCTTGTTGAGAGCTAGCTGGCTTCAAATTTTTACCCGGTCTTTGTTCCATTTAACTACTAATGATTTGCTGATCCCTCTTCTTTTTGCAACCTTTTCCCAGAGGTTTTTTGTCTTAAGCTCTTTCATGGTATGTAGAAGATCCAGAGTTTTTATCTTGAAATCTAGTGTAAGATTTCCTCTGATTTGCCCCTCGACGATTGTTTATTTTGATTCCAGATTCACGTTCCTCTAGCTCCGTCAAATCGTATGTTGTTTCTAGACTTTCTACGTCAACTACTTGCTGATCAGTAGCTTGGTTGACACATTTGTGTGAAGTTTTCGATAAAGAGCTGCTTTGGCTTAGTTTTGACTTTGAGAGCTGCTCTGGATGCTTGACTCACATGTGAGTAGCGAGGTATTTCTCCCCCGCAAACGAATCATGGCAAATTTCATACCTTACGGGCTTGTCAGGAAGCTCAACTGCTTTTGAAAGACCTGCAGATACCTCAAAGAGCTTGCCACTTTTTGTTTCTAGCTGCTTCTTGAAACCAACATGGAATAAACACAGGAAAAAATAACAGACTCCCATTTTTGGATATTTTAGGGTATTTAAAGAATACCCACAAAAATCCCAAATTTGGAAGATTGAGACAAGTCCCAATCAGGGAACTTGGTTGGGAATTCCCTGGTTGGGACTTGTCTCACTTTGCCAAATTTGGGATTTTTATGGGTATTCTTTAAATACCCTAAAATATCCAAAAATGGGAATCTGTTATTTTTTCAGGTGAAAGTGTGATTCATTTCCTAAGCTGAAGAAAGTCTTACTCGAGAAATCATAAGCTGTCAGACTCATATGTGCTGTTCAAAGAGTGAAGCACTGATGTGTTGTGTTTACATTAGTGCTGGACAGGAAATGACGTTTTCTTGTAAGTCAATACAATTGGCCAGCGGTGCCACCCAAACTTCACACGTTGTTGCAAAGAAAGTCTCTAAAGCAACCCAAAAAGTGTAAAATTCAGCCATTTCCTTTCCTTTATTTGTTTGCATAATTTGGCACAAGCTAGAAATCGATAATGTCTGGAGAGCATGAGGTGTTTGTGGAGTCAAGCGTTCAAGGTTACCACACATACTTTAAATATTCAACTGTTAGTGTGCAGGAACTGATGATGTGCGAGATCAAAGAAGCAATGACCACGACAAATATGCTGTTGCAGTAAAGAATGAATCTGGCCAAATTGTGGCCATGTACCTATCGAGATTTCGAAAAATATGTGCAAGTTCATTCGTGACTGTGGAGAGGTTGAGGTGGAGTGTATTGGACACCAATACAATGTGGGTCAAGGAAAAGGACTCAAGATTCCTGTCGATTATAGCCTGCTTGGAAATCAGCAGTATTTGCAAAGAGTAGTAACAAAGCTAAAAAGCACACATCTGGCTCTCAGTATCAGTGACATTAGGAAAATAATGTGGCACAGAGTAACTGAATATTGTATGCATCAATGTCTTCTTTTTAACCTGGAACTTGATAGAGAAACTACATCAATTATTTAAAGATATTTTTATATTATTATTATTATTATTATTATTATTATTATTACTAGCTTTAATGCATAATGGTGTGCTGATCTACGTATTGCTTAGTATGCTTTGCAAGTCTACATATCTTGCACTCATTTTTCTTTAAAAAACATTTTTACAACATGGTAATCTGCTTTTTTTGCTTCAAATATGATTTGCAATGCAGCTGTAATGCACTAGTATGATCTTAGAAAATAAGAACCTGTTTTAAATTTCTTAGGCTAAATAGGTTCTTGTTTATAGGGGGTATAAACGACCAATTTAGGCTAACAGGTTCTTAATTTTTAGGTTCTTAGTTGTGGATTTTTACTGTATGGTTTGAAAGTAACTTACATCGTTCGGTAATGAAAAGTCCTCTATCGGTTTATGTAAAGAGATGAATGAACAGAGAATGAAAACGTTCTTATCTGAACAACATGCAACAAACAGAAACAAGGATTCAAATGATTAAAATGGTAAACGAATTCAAACTCACCATTGTCCATTTTGCACGCCCAAACTCGATGTAGATCTGTGGATGCGCGGGGATTTACCGCTGGACAAAAAAACTGTGGAAAATCAGGACTGGGCCGCCGGGCCTCTGTGCTCGCCGCTGCCGGGCCTCCGGGTTTGCGGGGCCGTCGCAGGCCATGGGCAGCTGGGCCTTGGGGCCGTCACGGGCCTGCTTTTAGCAATACCCTGTTTTGATCCCTTAAAAGGTCGGGAAAAACAGTGTACTGGCGTCTGAAACATTGGATTTTGAAGTCCCACTCATGACACTTTACAGTTACTTATATATATATATATTCTATAGTTATATTCTTTATTTTTTTCTTTTAAATATGTATTAAAGAAAAAAGACACTGAAATTTACTCTGGTGGCACTGTTCAGTTACAGCCACTTTAAATATGATTTTATTAGCAGCTTTCTTTTTTCCTCTATTACATGGATTGCCTTAATGACTGGAATTTATTTACCAAGTGAGCTGAAATAGAGCCTGATCTTAGGTAAGATTACTTAAATATTCCATTGTAAGAAAATGAAATTGTTGGTCACCATCAATCTGTTACATTACTGAATTTAGTTATAATACTAGCACCTTTTCTTAAGGCTGGTTTTTCACCAGCGACGAAGTCAGAGTTGGAGACGTTAAGTGGAAAATAAAAAATCAGAGTTGCAAGCAGAGTCATAAGCATGACGGAATCAGAGTCGGCAGAATTAGAGTGTTTCCATTTTCTATTGACTCCGCTAGCTTATGACTCTGTTGCTTATGATCTAGTGAAAACCACAATGTCGGAGTTGAAAGCAGAAGTGGAAGGATAAACCTGCAATCACAAAACACATTCCCATGCTTTTGTGGTTGTTTTAGTTCTTCCACTTCTGCTTGCGACTCCAACAACCTAGTTTTTACTTGATCATAAACGATAGTCGTAAGCAAAATAAGAATGTTGTATTCACTTGATAGTAAAGTTCTACACTTCTGATTAAACCTACGACTCCGTCGCTAGTGAAAACTAGCCTTTACAGGCAATATAAAGAAAATTATGTTTAAATAGTTATCATACAAACAATTTGTTAATTCTTAATATATAATTTAATTATTGTGTTTGAAAAGTTACTATTTGTTCAGTGTCCACAACAGGCATTAAAACAGACTGTTTACAAATGCACTAAAATGTCTTTGAAAGTGTACAATAATATTATTATATTATTAATGCTGTATCAAAAATATCTCTCAATGAAAAATATTTTAGAAATTTATGAGAAAAATAACAGAAAATAAAATTGTTGACAGTAAAACAACCTCCTTTACCTGTATAATATATGCAAACATTAAAAACAGGTTAAAGTAAAGTCACCAAAAGGCCCTGAAGTGACTCAATTTCTTGAAAGAAATACTCGTACTGTATAATTGAAAAAGAAAAACATCAACTACTGCCCGGCAGCAGCATAATACAAAAATAGAAAAGCAAGTACAGTGTGGAACATTATTGCTTTGTATTGATGAATAGACTACAAAGTTTTGATGTCTATGAAAAATGTTTTCCTTTCAATTTTTAAAATTTTTTTAAAAGAAGCTTACTGCAATGTGACATTATTATTAATTTTCAAGATTCAATCCTATGCAAAAACATACTCTTGTCTAAATCCACTGTCACATTTTACTGCAGGGAGCCCAAAAGTGTGACCACTTTTAATTTATTCACATTCTTTCACACAGACATTAACCAATCAGAAGTCAAGGACAATTTCCAGCTGGCTTCTGATTGGATTAAATCTACATGAAAGAATGTGAATAAATTAAAAGCGGTAACACTTTTGGGCTCTTGGCTGTAAAGTATTTCCTCCCTTAGGCTGATAGTAGTAATTCATAATGTTTGATGCATACATTTGCTTCAAAAATGTGCAAATGATATTAAGGAATTGAACTTTTATTAATTTCAATGGGGTGCTTGATTATTTTCTTTCCCCCACTCAAAGCATATCCATTCATCAATAATAGTAACAATATCATGCCTGTCCATGTTCTCCATAATGTCCTTAAATTTTCCAACGGAACTATTCTTTTGAGATTTAAACCTCTGTAACATGCAATGAGTTGGCTGTCCCTTCTGTCCAAGTAATGAAATCTCATCTCTACTGAGGCCAATTTTCTCTCCAAATGTTCGGTAATCATCCCAAAATGGTCGCTCTACATCAAGTGTGGTACAGATGTTACAATAAAATGGCTGTGATGGGATGGTTTCCATTTTTTTGTTTAAGAGGTTTTTCTGAAATCCATGGAAGTCTGATACAGAGTTAACAGTAAGGTCATGGGCTGGTGAATGGTCTTTGTTGTCAACAGAAGGTAAGCACAGCTCTCTTGGCTTTTTATTGCCTGTATACACATGATACATGAAGCTGTCTCATTAATTAATATCACACATTTTAGTGCAGGAGATTCAGTGACCACCACAGTCCACCAATAAAATGATTAATATTTTGCAGAGTCTGGGCACCTCTCATTTTACTGACCGTACTAGAACTCATTTCACAAAGTAGTAATTTTGCCAGAACTTAACTACTTTGCGAAATGAGTTCTAGCACGGTCAATAACTTGAGAAGTCACCAGACTCTTCGAAATATTAATCATTTTATTGGCGGACACAATTTGTTTCAGACGAAAAGGACATATTTGCTAAATAAAGCTGAAAAACGCCATTTCGCAAAATAGTAATTGTATTGAAATTACTACTTTGTGAAAAAGGTAAAAATCCGTCATTTTTCGTTAACTATTACTTCCAAACACATTGTCAATGTTGTCTTAAGCTGTGTTTAGGTTAATAGAGCGGTTTTCACTTGACTCTCGTAAAACCAAAACCAAAGTAAATACACTAGCCAACCAAAGGCCGTAGTAAAACCAAAACTAAACCAATTCCTCAATTACTTTCGACAGTCAAGTGAAAACCGCTCTAAGCATTTTTTCTCCTTCTCCAAGATATTTTGTTTCGTTTCATTTCGCAAAATAGAATAAGCCGACACTACATGTGGTGTCTAACTGGAATTAGAGTACGATCAAACCCATATTTTAGAAACATGTACCACAAAACATATTTATTGGTGGTGCACGACTGCATACATGGTAAAATCAAAGGTTAATTGCTGAGATGACAACATTGAGGACATACAGCAAAGCTTAAGACAGTTTGAATATTGGGGATGGAAACTAAGATCCATCCATCACATGTACAATGCTTCTGAGATAGAATCAAAAGTTGTTATAGCTATTTGTCACTGGGCCCAATAGCTGTTCACATAACCTCTACACCCGGTTATTATTGTAAATTTTTTTATCCAATTAAAGGATGCCAAACCCACGTAATAGTTGTGTCTTTTGTCCTAAAAACCACCCTCCTGGAATTTCTGTAGTCCTAGGGCATTGATGATAACCCTTCCCATGAAACTGTCAGGTGTTTTTTGCATTCCTGACCACCTTGGCCATCAAATTCTTCCATCAGACCTAATTGTTTAATTTCCCTTTGGCATAAGTTTTTAACAACCTCAACTGAAGGGACATTGCAGGGATACAATTGACTGACTTCTTAACGGACACTATTATAAGAAAGAGACCTGGATAAAACTGCAGACACCTAGAGTTGGTCCCCGCCTTTCTTTACTCCCTTTATCTAATACTGACTCTATAAGACAGCCGCACTCTTAGATGGACACTGTACTGCCGGTCCTAAAGGAGTCTGTCTTGAAGACTTAACTGTATCAAATATGGAACCACACATTTTTTTTATAAAACAGGCCTTAAGAAGTCTTTTTTTTAAACTAACCTGATGTCAAAAGTCCTTTCTTATTCTCCTTTCCTAAATGGCCTGCTGGTCCACTTCCATTTTCCTGTGAGCAAGGGGCTGATTCTAAGTCAGTGTCATTATCTTTTGGGTTGTAGGAATAAACAGTCTCTGTTTTTCCCTGACTGAAGCAACAGTCTCTTTTAAGAATAGTTCTGACTTGCTGCCGGTCACACTGTTTGCGAATCACAAAGCCAAGAGCAATTATTACTATCACAACTAATGAAACACAGCTAACCACGATGCCAGTAATAGTAGAGCAAGAAAGATGGTTTGATTTGTGATCATCAGGCTGAAACAGCTTTCCATTAGTCTTGACCGTGCCTGTAGGATGCTGGCATTTGACATCAGTTTGTTGACACTGCATGATGTGACACTGGAAGACCTGAGTCCTCACACTGCCTCTCATGCTATGCCAATGGTTGTTTGCAACAGTCACTGCATGGATCACATGAGTCAGTTATTTTATTCCAATAAAAACCCTTATCACATATTTTCAAACACTTGGTCGTATCCTCTGTGGTGGTGCAGTGTCCTGATGATTTTTCATGTGGACTGCACTTTCTGCAGCTTTTACACTGAGAATAATCATTTGTCTCAGAGTAATTCACCCCCTTTACACAGTAGACACACTCAATTGATTCAGTGAAGGGAATACTACCACCACAGGGAAAACTCAATCCACTTCCTGGGTGACACTCTGCAACTGAGCATTTCCAGATTAAAGAATGAGTCACATTGATCACTCTCTTGATTTCATCATGTCTTGCCTTTTGTCTTTTGCAGCTTACAAGACTAGACCCATAAACTAGGATGACCTGAGAAAAAACAGAAATGTAACAGTCATATTATGTACGTAGTGCAGTAGTAAGAACCATTTTAATGGAAGCAAACTGACAGCCCTTTCTTGAAAATCATTCAGATAAATTGCAGAACAGTTGAAGAGTCAATGTTAGCAAAGGCTGGGGAGGAAGGGGTGGGTTGGGAGAGTAGCAGCATGTCCTTATACCCCAATTTCAAGTCTCTCAATACTTAACCCTGGGAAAGGGAATACTACTGTTAAAAAATGACAGGTGGGCTAATGTCATACCTTTTAGGGGTTAAAATAGGTGGACTGGTGTTATTGAGGGTGCTAAAATCTCTCAAGTCCTCAGTTCGAACTTTGATATCTTTTAGAGGTATTTTACACTAATTGACCCCTAACTGAACTATTTGCTAGTCGAATGAATACTCATTGAGCTTCTTTGTGGCTATTGAAAATTGTCTGTGCCAGTTAATTTATTTTTTTAGAATTGGTACCTCCAGGGACTCGGGAGCAAAATTGAATTCAAATCACATCCAGGAAACAAGCATCCCTGTCATTTAAAAAATGGAAGTACAAATACCACTCAAACTCTCGAGCGTTGTAAACACTGTATTGTAAACTCGAGATCCTTAGTTGATTGAAAGATAGTTATTACGAAACCACTTAGTGATTTAGCTACAACCAGGTTTGAAAACTCCTCTATACCGTCAGAACCAATTTTGAATTTCTGTTGTGTACAGGTAGTAACGTGTTCGTCGATTCCAAGGTAATAAGCTTACGTCCCGATAAGCGATTGCCTTCCTTGCAAACAATTATTGATTTGAAAGGCACCCGGATTACTGCGGACTTGTGTACGTGATAAACAGTTATCTATAAAAACGTGATTCATATGGTTTTCATCGACAAAATTTACCATTCAGATAACCTAATTTTTTGAACGTCGTTTTCGTTCGAAGCTAACAATGTGAGTTGTAATGTACCACGAGAATAAAGCTGAATGACATGATGAAAAAATTAATAAAGTTTATCGATGTACACAAAAGTATACTGCAATTCCATTCGATATCGCTATTAAACATTCGATTTTTTTACTGCTTTCCTGTCCTGTTATATGATCGTTGTCGTTTTTTACCATCGATTTTCTAGATAAAATGCAACAAAAAGCCACCTCTGCTACACTGTAGCAGATCTAACAATGTATTACGTTGTCAATTTTGTGTAACTTACCAAAGTTGTCCAAATGCGTGCCCAGTCTATTGAAGCCATACTTTCCACGCTGAAAACACACAGTTTAAAAGGGAGTTAGGTTACCAAGACATTTCAGTAAAAAATACTTAATTAGAATTTTCAGTGCGCGCGTCGATCGATATAAACCTAAATTTCTTCGATATCGTCTTGTCAAAAACGACCTTGGCTCACGTTCGGAATATGTGATGTAATACTATAATACGTAAGTTTGGAAAAGTCTTAAAAACATATAATAGCCTGCGTGGCAAAAACACAAAATATACCTCACAAAGATAACCCAATCGGCTCTTGATAAGCACTTATAATTTCGAGAGTCGATAAAGCGCCAAGCAAAAGTCAAGCAAAAGGAAAATTAGGGTACCGAAAATTACTTAAAAACCGGTTCGTTGCTGTTTTCTCCTCGGGGATTTCCCTTATAATAAATTCCTCCAATGAGATTGCATTTCAATGAGAACGTGTCTATGATAAGAGCCATACAGATGGCGCTCCAGACGCGGGAAACTGTTCAGGTGAAATTTAAAAAATTTTTAAAAACAAACGTGAAAGAAATTTTCCACATTCCTGGGATAATTACACGACTGTTGCACGTTTGGTGAATAAAGTGCTTAATGAGGACGTTACATCACGGGCGGGCCATCCGAATTTTTCGAAGCAGCGTGCATGCTGTCTCGCGCGATACAGTGACTGTATTACGCAAAAGTTGCTTCTTGGTTCAAGTTGGTGGTGATCGGGAGAAGTGATTCGTAAAATGCAGAATTTTGCATCTTTTGATCCTAACTCATCATATAATGTAAGGAACATGATTAAAGTTTAATTACCATTTGCTTTTAGTGTGGTCTAGTCGCTAGCCTGCCAAGTTCGCAATAGACTAAAATTTTTTCACGAGCGAGGTAGATTTTTTAGGTTTTCTGGGCCAACTACCGGAACCGGAAGTGAGAAGCGAAGGACTTTGAGAAATCCTAGGTCCCCAAGTGAAGCGGGCCAGGAAGCGGGGCAAAAAGAAAATAGGCCACTTGGCTTGGAAGTTTAATTTATTATCGACTTTAATCGACAAATCAAATTAACAAAAACGAATATCGAGCACTATTGACTTATCGAATAGCCGTCCGATGATCGATTTACAGAATAGGAATAGTGCTGCGTCCATGGTGGTGTTTCAAGAGTTTAAAGGAGGCTACCCAGGCCGTGAGATAAGAGGAGGGGGGTTCTTCCTCTCTTCTTTCTGTCATGTGGTCCTCAATTTTGTTAAAAAAAAGACAAAGCAAGGAAAAAAACGTGAAGATAATAATATAGATTTCAGTGACTCCATATGGATTTGGCATGCCGATTTCGAAGGCAATTTTTTCTAGTTTTTTTTTGTGGCTTTCCGTGTTATGTTGTAGGAGACCGCAGATTGCCATTGTTTTCGCTGGAATGACAAAAAAAATAAAACAAACAATAAAAGAATGGTATTTCATAGAGGTTATGAGCACAAATGTTCAGTGAAGTAAAGTATTAAGACAAAGAAACCAAAACATTTTTTAATCTTTCCAATGATAATACAATCCAGAAACAAAGATTTGAAGACCTAACAAATTTGCAACTTTTTTGCTATCTTCTCTCATCTACAACTGTTTCTTCTAACATTTCTTTTTCTATGCAAGTTACAACTTATTTTAAAAATATTTCATAAGATTTAAGAAATGGAACTGCCAACTTTCATGTGAGAGAAATTAAACTTCCAAGTAATTTTTGACTTTGCCATTTTACATCCTTAATTTTGCCAGTATACACTAGGACCCTATTAACTTGCTTACAAGATCACAAGACATTGTACAACCGCAAATGCAGTGGCGGATCCAGGGGAGGGGCCCAGGGGATCCGCTCCCCTTATTTTTCAACCAAATTGAGGCCTGAAGGGCCAAAAAAGTTTTTTGGGAGACCGGGCTCCTACCCCCTCCCCCTTATCTGAAGGTCTGGATCTGCCACTGAAATGTCAGTATTGCATCAAACAAAGTTTTATAGTTATGAGAAGTCTTAGGAAGCCAAATATGCTTTACCTTGTAAACCTTAGAAATCCTACATCAATAAAGCGAAAACCCTAGTTATAATAAATAATAAAGACTTCTTATTAACCTCATTGCAGTAAAAAAACTGAAATACAGGGTTATAGTACAATATTATTCTAAATTACTAAATTAAAACTAGTCCTACTATAATATTTTACAAGTCAACATTCTAATCATTATATGCAAATGTTCATATAAAAGAACTTGAGCATTGTGTGCGGCAGCAACTACAATAACAAGTATTACATTTGCGTTTACTTTAAAGGTGCGATCAATATTGAAAACTGCTTTCATAATTGTGTACATTAGTCTTCAAACAATTTCAATTTTCCACCAGATAAGTCACAATGTGCTCTTAGTTTTTCACTGCCTTAAGTGTCACACACAAGCCAAATAATTGCAGCCTTAAGTTGGCAAGTATGTGAAATGTCCCAGCTAACTTATATTTGTGAACAAGAACAGAATACAAGCCATTTATTTTCGCCCCCATTGATTAAATCAATTATGTCCTCTCGTTCCATGTCTTTCATTATCGAAACAAAATCTGCAACAGTCCAAAAAGGTATCCGGGCCAAAATGACAGAGGTTGTTGTCCTGCTTTTTACCTTAGCTTCCTGTTGAAGACAATTAAATTCTGGCATTGAGATGTTAAGTTTACTAGCAAATTCTCTAACATCTTTGCCATCAGCTCTGATGATATCCAGAGTGAGGCAAATCTTGTGTAGAAGACAGAAGGGTGCCTGGTTCATTTTACTGCTATATTTCTCTGTTTGGGAAAGATCTGCCCATTTGATAGGACTTTGCTTTTCCACTTCACTTACACTACCATTCCACTGCTGGCAAGCTGCTGGAAATGAAAGACAATACTTGTATTACTTATTGCTTACGAATAGCTTTTAAATACATTTATTGTCCCACTATTGATGACATAAATTAAACCTCCTGAAAAAATTTTTTTATCGTCAAGTATGTATTGTTCAGTAGAATACAGGAAAAACAGAACAGTTAGAAGGTAATTTTTTACAACTGGCAATATATAAATATGGTCAATTACGCAGGTGTACAGCAAAAACCTGATCACCAGTGTGCAAAGAATTAATATTATAAAGGTATCACATAACAATATTGTATTTACCTCCAGGTGTTTGCATAATTGGTGGAACAGCAATGGGTTTTAAATCTGTGTTCAATAATGAAGGCTTTTCAGGTGAAACCTCTAGTGTAGGGTCTTGTACTGATCCAGCAACATTTACACCTGTTGCACCCTCACTGGTTGCATTTTGTTGACAATCTGTAAGAATTAAAATT